CCAAGACGTGGGAAATGAGTATTTTGACCCTGAGTAGGTGTCTTGATTACTTATGGAGCCTCAACTCGAGAATAATATCCTTGTACTTTCTTAAGTTTCATAATCTTTATCTTCGTACACAAGTTTTACGTTGAAGTTGATTTACGAGGGCCTACTTGTAATTTTAACAATCAGTTGGGGGGGGCAATTTTGTAATTTTTCTTAATGGGTTTGAGTGGGATTGCATTACTCTCCGTCCCTCTCTTTTCTCCTTCAGTTGAAATCATATCTCACATTCTCTATAAGTCTCGAACTGTCCTTTCAACCCTCTCACAAATCGAACTCAAAAACTTGATATTTGGAATCCTTGTGACTTGAGGAACTAGCCTTTACCCTTGTATGTGCCATCAAAGCACTAGACAATGACCTTCCATGGAAGTCGTGAGCTTCGAGCTCTAGCCCTCAATCTCAGGTGAAATTCCTTCATTGTAGTTTCTTTCTAGGCTTTTAGCTATGTTGGAATTGAATATTTCTTCGAGTTTGAACTCAAGTTCATACCCTATGCCACTCTGCATTTGCATGCCTAAGCTCAGCTTCGAACTCCGGCGAGATTGTCGTCGAGTTCGAGGTTTATTAGGTTTTTGCAGTGCTCTTATATTAGTTCCTTCTTGTTTAGAACTGCAATTGATGAAGTTATACCTATTCTTGTGGTTCTAAACCTCTGCATGCTTCTTAGTGCAATTTCCCAGATTCCAATCATCCTTCCTGTGCAAACTCCGGCGAGTTTGTGATTTATAGCGCTCGAGAACACCTCCAATCAATCCTAGGTATTTAGATACCTTCATGCATGTTATTGTTGGTTTGAATTGGCTGAGTTTGACATGCATGCACACTGATTTCCATTTCCAGAATCCAGTGAGGTTTTTCGAGGGAAATCCGTTGAATCTGAGGTGGATTTGAACCCTATTCCTCTTAAATCGATTCAATGTAAGTCCCTAAGCTTCTAATTGATGTTTTCTATTAGTTCAGAAGTGAAATGTGTGAAATTTGGGACTGGAATCACCCTCTGCAATCTCTTGGTGCAATTTTGTAGTTTTCGGTGAGGCTCCGGTGATGGTACACGGCCACCGACGACAATTACCGTTAGTTTTAATAGTAGGAATTGAGATTCTGTTAACTCTAACGGAATCTACTAACGAAGCAGGTATGTTTTGTTATCCTTGTTTAAATCTTTACTGCACTTGCGCGTGGCACCGGCAACGACGAGTGTGGCGCCTACTTGCCCACGGCAACACGCTTGCCGGCTGTTGCCGACCCACAGCGGTGCGTGCTTTCCGGTGCGTGTCACCACTGTGGTGGTGCATGCAATGGCATGTGACAAACCCGAGACCTAACCTTAGATTTTTCGGTGTTCTAATTCACGTGGTGCCCTCCGTTTGTGCAAATTCGAAGCCTAAATGGTTGAATTAGACTATGTTCCATTAAAATGATGATTTAAGCTTATCTTAGCTTATATTGACATTCACCTGATTGATTGAGGATCGGAAGGATATAGGCAATGAGCCTAATTGCGAGGGACGCTCTGCTTACTTGTGAGTGGACCCTTTCGAAAAACCAATTTTTTTAACGTTATATATTTACGTATACGCTTTAATGCTTAATATGTGGATGCATGTTATTGTATTAGTCTCGGATGAGACTTGTGATGATATTTATAATATCTTTAGATCATTCATGATCTATTTTCACCACATTGTCATCATGTGATGAGTTGTATAGCTATCTTTGGTCATAGATTTGTTTGCAAGTTTTATTTGTCCTAGTGGACACTAGGGTTGATGATCATTACCGGTATAGAGACTAACTAGTTGATGCTAGTATATTTCATGCTTGTTATACTTATGTTAGTGGATGCTAGCATGATTGATTGATGGAAGTTATGATTTCTGAACTTAACTTGATGGTTTTTCGTTGATATTGATGAACAAACTTTTCTATTATGGTAGTATTGTATTATATAGTTTTTCACTATATATGTTTTCAAAACAGGAGTTTTTATGTTTAATGATGATTTTATAACTGTGATAAAAGTAGTCCACTCACATTTTGTTTTATCGACTCCTTCAGGATGTAACGAGACTAAGGAGAACACCGATGGGGACGAGTGGGCTTAGCAATAAGGCTTCCATCCTCTGGACTTTGAGTGATGGCTCATTTACTGCAGTTTTATCTTAGTTGTAATAATGTATGCATGATCGTACTTTTGATTATGCATAGCACTGCACTTTGTGTTTATTGTTGTGTGAAACTTCTGGCTGCTCTAATCTGATGTGATTAATAACGGGTTTAAACCCGAGATAATCTGTGTCCCCAAGTGGGGAGGATGATAAGTACTTATGAAGTAACTTTGGATTTATTATTTTCAATGAACATCTTTTGGTTCAAATTCTTGCACATCATAAATATCTTACTATGGCTTCATCGTTGAGTTAGCTTGTGACGTCATCTCCAGATGGGGTCATATAGTCAATTTAGTGTCGTCCAGTACATCACAACCTCGTAACTTGTGTTATTGGGATTGTGGTGTGTCAATATTCCTACAAGTTAGGAATTTAAAGTTTTGTCGCCCAGAATTGGAATCATTAACTTTTGTATGACAACTTAAACACAAAGGGCACAAAAGCCTAATGACTTAGCATGGCCCGCCATAAGAGAAAGTTTGGTTTGGTTTCACTTACGCCACTCAAATGTGGGTAGTTATATAAAGGGGATTATAACACAATCCTCATTAGGTTTTCTATGAGGAAAGAAGGAAAAATACAACTCCCTCCTTCTCTCTAGGAGGCCGACCCTAAGGGGGAGGATACTAGTATCCATCTCTCCCTTACTCACTCACCTCTTCTTCAAATCCTTCCTTAGTGTGGAGATGTTAGAGGTTCCTTCTCTTGGGAACTTGGAGAATCCATTCATCCATCCACAACTCCAAGAAACCCATGAAGTAAAGAAGCAAGGAATGAAGGCCCTCTCTTTGAGTGATTACCCTTTGCTTATACAAAGAGGAATCTACAAAGGTATAAAAAAAATTATCAACTCTTTCTCTGTGAATTTGAGTTTGGTCTTTGGTTCACCACACTACTAGGCTTTGAATTTCTTGGGTAAAGTTTTATTTTGAGTGCATATGCTTTAGCTTCCGCTATTTAATTGTTAAACGTAATATTTTTGTTACTCAAATGAGCTTAGAATGACCAAAATTTTCCTTCAAATATAAGAGATAGGTCTCTTCGATCTAACATTCTTATATCACTGTCTCTTAGGTTGATTATATTCTATTATTCAGTAAACACATAATACATCAAGTAATGATTAACAATAAACATTGCCCATAAGTATTTCAAAAGTATGAGTGACTTTATGGCCATACTTCCAACACATGTACCCCCCTCCACCTTTATACCCACCATATTTTGCCGAGGGCAATGGTTCAGTAGCGTCAAAAAACATCGAAGTTGTGAAACAGAAGATAGCTTAAGATCGAGGCTGCTAAAACCAAAAACCAATTGAACATAACCAAAAAACTGAGCCGGTTTGGTTGTCTTGGTTTGGGTTTTTTTTTTAATTTTTTAATTTTTTGTTTTTTTTGTTGTAGATTTTTCTATTTTTGGATTGAACCAGATTGGGTGCAATATTTAGTTAAGGTTTCAAATTTGGGTGATGAGATAGACTGTACCTAACGGTGCTCACCATTTCAAGGTGCCACAACAAACACAAACTTTTAGGGATCTTAACAGACTTTAGTCATAGTACATGTACCTGCAATAGAACTAGAAAAATGTACACACAAAAACAATAAAAACGAAATACAATTACTAGGATATCGATGTCCAAGTTTAGCCGTTGCATCAATTGTTATGTTCGCCTCTCTCAAGATATTTTAGAACGATAATTTGTAAAAATCTTTTCGTGAGATAAATTAACAGTGGATTTAGTTATTTTTCTATTTCATAAGAAATAATTTTATGCACAATGTTTATTTATTTATTATTTTTATCAATAAAGAATGATTTCCTTTCATAGCATAGCCAATTATACTACTTGAACGAGAGAGACGAGGAAAGAAACAACAATAGCAAACAAACGACACCTCTCACCGGGATGGTCATTCTTCATCAGTAATAAACCACCACCAGGAAAAGATTGTTGGAAATTATACACTTCTGTCATCCAAATCATCTTCCAAAATTGGCTCTAGCCATGGAGAAGCCTCCTCCATCCAAGTCCTGTGCTCGTTACAACTAAGCGTTGAGCGAGTGTGCTACCTTGTTTGCCGTTCTCAGCTGCCATTGACAACCAAAACTTTGAAAACAATTCCGTAAAACTTTGATCTCTTCTACTAGATGCCGGTCCACTCCTCCATCAGCTTCTTCATCTTTTAGGCATAGGAGGAGGGCCAGTAGGCGATCTGTACTCAAATTATGCAACCTCCCATTCTACTTTGAATGCTTAGTGACAAAAGCTTTTCAAAGCCTTAGAATGTCAGATGAATTTGAAGGTAGATTTGGAAACTGCATTAGACTGCTAAAATGAAAATAAAAGAACGAAATACGATGGATGAGTTCATAACAAGTGCCGTTCCCAGCAAGCATGCAACTTAAGCTATTTATTCTAGGGCTGGAGAGGAGTAAACATACACTAGTAAGAAATATATCCAAGACACCTTATCCTAGCGGTTTACACGCCAAAGGCTTCTTTAAAATCTATCAGCCTATGCCTATGATCTCTAGTCTAACCCTCGTTTGGTCCATACTTATATAAAGAGATTGAAAAGCATAAAGCTATGCATCCAGCTTCATCCTTCAATGATGGACAGCCTATTTACAATATCATTTTACACATTATGCAGTGCACATGCGTAAGACCGGCTATAACAACAACCTCCACTGTTTCTAAATAAGAGAAGTTGTATTCTTCAGCACCAATGAAGTCCACATGAAAAGAATGCCATAGTGAATAACAAACAGGTCGGCACAGAAGCTGAGTTATAAGTACAACATATATATTACACAATATGTTAGCAGATGCAACGATTATTTAACACAACAAATTCATAGGATTTGAAAGAATAATACAAGAATTAATCTGCAATTCTTCAACCATGCACCAAAATCATCTCTATCGCATGAACATGTCGACAATAGCCCTCCAGTAGCCAACCAACTGAAGGGAAAAGGTTTCAGGCACGAAAATGTCAACAATGACACTCCAGTAGTCAACCAACTGAAGAGAAGAGATTTCAATCAAAGCCCACAATAGAGGGAATCCAGTGAAGTGGCAGAGGTTAAATTATCGGCCAATGAACAGGTGTGGCATATGTGTGTGGGTGTGTGACAGTTGAACACCATGTTACATGAGCACTCAAAAGCTAGGAAAGTAAGTTAACCTGGGTCGGAATGCTTTTTCCAGTTTGAGCTTCAATTAGCAAGCCTGCTGTAAGACCAATCATTGCCCATGCACCATTAATTGCTTCAATTTGACGTTTTCTCTGTAATCACGACAATGTTTTTAGAAATGAATAACTTCTATGTATGATATGTAATCATAAGAAAGCTTGAAATATGACATCAGCTGACCCCAGTTATCTTGCATTTTGTGATACATTAGTAACAGAAAAGAAATGAAATAAGGATTGGGGCCTCATCAAGGAACCAACTCTTGTTTTAAAAGAAATCAATATTAGCTAGAGGATACTGAAATATATGAATTGTACATGAATCTGGATATAACTTTAATACAGAAGTTTGTCGGACAAGTCATTTTCATACTTGCTATCTTAACAAAGCATGCAATTCCTTAACCTTGTATTTCTCTTTTGCTTTAATTTCTTCCATTTGCTTGGCAGCCAACCGCTTGGCTTCCAAAGGATCAACCATTATCACTTCATTATTTGATGCTCCTTTCTTTGAAGAAACCTGTACCGAAAGAAAATACAAATCAAGTTCAATCAGGAAAACAACAATAAAATAAAATAAAATAAAATAAAAAGAAAAAGAAAGAAAGAAAACACATGAATTCCCTTTTTATCAACTGTAAGTTAATTACCAAGAGAAGGAAGAAATGGAACCAGGAAAAATAAGTTTCACCATATAGCTTCAATTTGATCATGTAATAAGATTGGCGACGGTGCATAAAATGAAAAGTGAAAGATGCAACTTCATCGACTTCTAATTGAATTGGATTTGACAAAAGAAGTTTGAAACAATTTTTCTAAGATTCGGAATATATTGAAGTATTTTACAATAAAAGTCTTTATTAATTGTAGACCAAATCTAGATGACATTCAAGGAAAGCCCATCCAGTAAGTCATAGACTGACTAACTTGTTTGAACTCAACATCCCTGCATGCAGCTTGCCACTAACTGATATTGATTGCCTATGTTCGGAGGTAACGGGCAACTACAGTATACAAGAGTGAACATCCTTGCTGGAACCTCCTTAACTTATGAGGATGCATAGCAAGCAAGCACACACAAGTTGGTTGATGATTCCCTTAATTTAATTTCTACAGATTATTGTTAGACGAAAGTAGAACACTCAAACAAGACTGGAAATTTAAGCAATTGATCAAACTGCACTTAAAAGTCTCAAACCCCGACCCAAATGCAATCAGTTTTAAAACTTTTACGACTGTGGCTTCAGCTGTTATACTTGATATGAAGGTTCCAGAAACTGATGATGCATTATTAACTAGGAAAACAATGAACTACGAGCATCCGTGTCTAATGTCTAGACATTCAGACCAACTACATACCTAAAATATCTTTGACCATATTCAAACCAATACATTGGTGTTATACATGTGGAATCCTTGGGGTTGATTCATACATTAGGATTGGCCAACAATTGAAGAGCACTGCCATTGGTTCTGTAAGCAACTACACTTCCACCTTGGTGTCTTCTCCAACTCCAACTGCAAAACAAATAAAATTATAAGCAAGAAACAAGCTTAGAAGCTTGGATATTAAAAGTTCTATATTATATAAGAATCCATCAGCAAAGCAATAACTACGCTAATTACAATTGAACAGATTACCATACAGTCATGGAGAAGACCATCTTAATGACCTCAAACAATAAATTGTTATTCTTGTGCTCAATCCAATTTATGTTCATGTTCACCCTCTCAATGGGGTTCACTTGTATTGCTACAGAATATGGGCGTTCTTTCTGAGCCACGTCAAGTTGAGCCAGAATTTAAGTGATAGATTGCATAATGCATAGAAATATCATTATTCTCCGTCGACACTCTTTGATTACTAACACTGCTCAAACAAAAGTTTTAATAACTCCCCAAATGCACCATTCAAGCCTGTAAATTACAATCTTCAACTTTACGAAACTCAGAAAATCACTCAAGAAATCAGATTATTGCATCTCCAATGCGCAACTATGATTCCGATGTACAAAAACATACACAACCAGAAAACCAAAATCATTTCAGCCTACCACAAAAAGGTTAACGGGGCAGTCTAAATTAGAAACTTATCCTTGTACCAGAAAAGGATAATGGGGCATATCATATGTGTATTATGACCAATTCATCATATTTTCATCAATTAAAATTTTCTGTCACGTAATTCTTGGGATATTTATTTGTATTAAGCACCACACTGTTGCAATATCAGCCAATATTTCTTAACAAAATAACTGCCAAAACATCACAAATGAAACATAAATCGACCCCCTCGAAGACATTTTTTTAAATTTTATTTCTCATTTTCTCAGTAACCAAACATAAATTGCACAAAGCTAAAGAACGAGCAGGTAATTCCAGTTGTTGGAGTAATACAAAAGTGGGTGTGAGAGTTTAAAACTCGTTTGGTTTTCCACGAAATCAGTGGGCAGAAGTGAAGAAAGTCGGAGAATTGGAGCGAGATAGGAAAGAGGTAAGCAAGAGAAAGGATTGGACTTACTTGTAGAGAGGCGCAGAGGGACGATGGTGATTGGGAAAGGATGAGCTTTGAGTGAAGAGGAGGCCTCCATTGATAGGTAGCAGAGATGTGGATGACATCCTCCCCTTTCGTACGTGTTCTGTTCTTCTCCAACGATTTCGGTTCCGTCTACCATTTTATATGCACCATTTTATTGTTCAGACCACATTTCAGTTTTACCCTCTACTTCTTCCTTCCAATTTTTCCACCTCTTGTGTTTCCAGTTAAAATTATATTTTATTTTTTAATATAAATTAGTATACAACATTGTTTGTATTCTTTTAATTTTCTACTGCTTTACAAAATGAGTCATGTTGAAAGAATCATTGCTATATTTGGGTTCAAGTTGAGACCATTGCTCCAATTGGGTAAAAGTTGAGAGACTACTTCTCCAATTATGTTAAAGTTGGAGATCATTTCTACAATTTTTTCCATTTAGTTTCTCATTTTTGCCCCTTGATTCTGACTTCATGTGTGTGTCATGTGACTCATTTTTATAGAAGTTTTAATGGAGTTGATGAAAATGATCATAGTTACACATTTTGATGCGTTAAGAGACCAATGGTCATAGATTTTTAGATGAGGGATCATTGTTACAATTTTCTCTAACTAAAAAGGTGGTGTTATTGACACTCTAAAAACTTATTGTGCACTTCAAACTTTCTAAATTTTATTTAAAAAATAAAAACATTTGGAAGGAGTGCATAATTAATTTTTAACCGTATCAAAACCACACCCAAATAGAATTATTATAAATAAAACTCGATTATACAAAAGACTTTTATTAATGGTAAGAAATATAAATCTATTCAGTGAACCCTTTTATTAATGCTAGCGATCTTTTCCATTTGCTTTCTCCTACTTGCCTTTCCTACTCAATAGATGCCATCTGGACTTACCTACACTCAAATCTATGCCATGTGAACTTATCATACACTCAAATCTATGTATTAATTGGAAAGGAATCCGGAGAGAATCTCTTTCATCTAATCCTCCTTATCAAACAATCCGGACCCTTAAAATTTGATCCAACGGCTAAAGTTATTATAACATTTTAAAGTGGGCCCTTGTTTTTAGCTGTTTAATCAAATTTCAAGGGTCTGGATTGTTTAATGAGGAAGATTAGGTGGAAGGGAGGATTCCTTTTCGTATTAATTGTGTTTAAAATTGTTTTCTTCTCTTTCCACTAATACCCCTAATTAAATCTCATACGTCAACCAAATTTGACAAATCTAATTATTTTAATTATTAATTTATTATTTTTTTATACAATTTCATTTCCTTTTTTTTACTCTCCTTTTTATTTTTCTCCCCTTTGATTTTAGGCTCTAGGAGAGGACTACAAAATTTTTAGAGATGTTATTTTTTTTATAATACATATGCCACAAATAAATTAATAAAAGACCTTTTCTCCCTTCATTGGACTACTTGCGGACGAAACTGCTCCCACATTTATTTGTTTGACGAAAACAAGGGCTAGAGGAATGGGTGGAAGACCTCCTTTTGCTAAATTAATTGATCCAGATAAGCCATGAGAGCTGTAAGTTTTTCCAAATGGTGCGACATAGGTTGGGCTGCTGTGGCAGGACCAAAGCCTGTTGTGTAGGAGCGTGTTGGGCCATACCAGGCGCTTGAACTTGGGCCGCATTAGCTGCAATCATGGCCTGGGCTACAGGTTCTAGGTGGGTTTGAGACTCAAATTGCAGGAGCCGAGACTGGAGATCAGGAAAATCCGGCAAGGGATGAGAATTAATTACCAGAGTCACAAACATCGAATAGTCACCACCAAGGCCTTTAGAACAGAGCTCACCAAATCAGTATTAGAGACAAGTTGATTAATAGCAACAAGAGAGTCATCGATAAACTTAGCATGTTGAAGGTAGTCAGAGACTCAGAGATAGAACTCGACCCTTTTTGTAAGAGCAAGAAATTGAAACCGAAAGTTGATGGCATTGGCCAGAGACTGTTAAGTAAAGTGGTCATGGAGGCACTTCCAAATAGCATGAGAGGAGTTAGTAAGTGACAAAATAGGCTCAAAAAGAGTGAACGTCAAATAACTGACAATCAGTTGGTCAATCTGAAACCACTGAGCAAACATGGGATTTGGTGTAGTGGGTTCCTCCCCAGCAATAGAGATAGTAGCGGCGGGGGCCAGGATTGAGCCATCCACACAGCCAAATAAATCGTGACCTAAAAGAAATGGTTTCATCTGACTAAGCCATAGCAATTTGAAAAAGTGAGCTACGTTAGGATTGGAGAGAGATGGTCCAATTGTGGTAGAGGAAGAGGAAGAGTGAGAGGCCATGGGAAAAAGTGTGGAAAAGGCACGGCAAGGAAGGGTAAATTGCTAGGGGGGAAGGCAACAATAGAGGAAGGTAAAGATTAGGCTAGGGTTTTTACTAGGAAGGGGTAACCTAAAACTAGTGATACCATGTAGAATTATAATTTCCTTGATTTCATTGATATCACAATATTACAAATACAGTCTAATCAACTAACTTGAAATACAAGTAATCCAAAGTCCACAGAGATTTACAAGACCTAGCCCAATAGAATCCTAACCGGATTCTCCTACACTAAAACTAACTTAATGATTTGGTTGATATATGAGATTTTATTAGGGGCATTAGTGGAAAGAAAAGAAAGAAGTTTTAAACACAATTAATACATGGACCTGAGTTTAAGATAAGTCAACTTGGCATTCATTGAGTGGGAAAGGCAAATAGGAAAAGATGAGTGGGAAAGGTAGCTAGTATCCCTCTAAGTCTTAAATACATATGAAAACATAATAATAAGTCAAATACATATGAAAACATAATAATAAGTCTTATATACATATGAAAACATAGCACTATTATCTTAGTTAGAATTATAAGATTAGTACATCTTTAAGTTTTAGTCGATAAAATTACGTAGTTGGTAGCCACATTTCAAATATAGGGATGGCAACGATTTAGTTTGTGGACGGAAATGCTATATTCATCCCTATAACCACGAAAACTAACCATATTCATAATCATAAATTAACCATCAGGGATTATCCATAACCATACTTGTCGGGTAATGGATTCCCCATCGATAACCATACTTATCGGGTAATGGATTTCCTATCGGTTAACGATTATATCCATCTTCATCAATACAAAAAATATATTTGTTCAATTGGCACATTATAATTTAGTAGATGCTAATTTTAATTCGTCATTAAACATTTGATGTATAACATGATTCAACGAATGTATCTTGTAGAGCATAAAAATTAAAGCATTAAATTTAAAACATTGATGATGTTGGCTGATCTTTGATATCTCCCATAAATACCATTGAATTCTCATTGATTTTGATTCAAAACTTTTGAGCATTTCCACAAAATGCAATTTTTGTGTTACAAGGTAATGAGTTCGATGAATAATAAATATACAAATACACACACACACACACACACACACATACATATTATAAATTATATTATTTATTGTTTGGGTTGGATTCGGATACGGGTACAAATGGGAGGCTCGTATAATCATATTCAAAACCCTAATATTCCCAGTTTTTCTGTATCCAAAATATACCCAAAACTGTTTCATCCGAACGGTTATCTACGGTTATTAGGTTTAATGGTTATAATTGTCATCCCCATTCACATGGTGTGAAGAGAAAGTGATACAGGTGAAGAACTAAAGCTTCTCAACCCTTCTACTAAAAACTCCGGTGGGCTGTAGTGGGATAACTTTCCTCTAGTACATTGGAATTTCGGACTGCTCTTCAGATTATCACTGATCATGTTCAAGCGCTAACCAGAACCAATCTTCCCCTGCATGTGCTAGGTTGTTTGCATTTATTCACCTTTATCCGCATCAACGGTATGAATTTGGATTTAGGTTGTGAACATCAAATGAGTGAAGTGGATGAACATCAAATGAGTGAAGTGGATGAACATCAAATTAGTGAAGTGGATGAACTAGTTCCCGAATTAATCATTGCCAATCAGTCTACCAATCAACCCACTACCGATCAGCATGCCGATCAGTCTGCTGATCTAGCCCACTCTCGATCAGTGTGCTGATCGGTCGTCTGAAGTGTCCTCAGAGAAGCAGTATATGAGACTCCCAAACTAGCTGTTGTCCAATACACCCCAAAGGAATTTCCTCCTCGTAGCATGAGAGGTATCCTAAAAGCTACCTATGAGGGTCGAACCTTACTAGTAAAGTCAAATATCCCATTAGCAATTATGTGTCAACCGATAGGTTATCAAGTTCATATTTAACACTTGTGAACCAATTATATTTTGTATCTATGTATCTATTCTTAACAATGCGTAGAAAGCCTTTGCCGATCCAAGGTGGAAAGCAGCAATGGACAAAGAGATGAATTCCTTAAAGAAGAATGAAACATGCGAGATCGTTGAATTACCACCAGGGAAATAACCTGTAGGGTGTTGATGGGTTTAAACAGTGAATTATAATTTTGATGGATTAATTGAAAGATACAAAGCAAGACTTATGGCGAAGGGATACACACGGATGTATGGAATTGATTATGCTGAGAAACTCCAGTAGCAAAACTCAACACCACTAGAGTTCTTTTGTCACTATCAATAAATCTTGACTAACTGTTGCACCAATTTAATGTGAAGAATGTGTTTCTGCATGGAGAATCAACTAAAGTAATGTAAATGGAGCTCCCACCTAGTTTGAATCGGCTGGCCAAACATTAAAATAAAAGTGTGTCAATTGAAAAAATCATTGTTTGGTCTCAAACAATCACTGGGAGCTTTGTTTGGATGATTCACGAAGTCCATGAGAGTCTTCGGCTACAAACAAAGTAATTTTGATCATACTTTATTCTTGAAGAAGAAGAAAGCTAAGGTTAGGGTACTCATTGTTTATGTAGATGATTATCCTGAGGAGCGACAAGCATTGCAAAGTTCCATGCTACGCGAATTCGAGATGAAAGATCTTGGTCCACCAAAGTATTCATTGGGTAAGTTGCCCATTCGAAGGATGGCATATTTCCGTCGTAGAGAAAACATGTTGTTGATTTGTTACATGAGACTAAAATGTCAGCGTGTCACCTAGTTGATATACCATTGGAAGAAGGTTTGAAATCGTGGTTTGATCCGGATCAACGACTGTGTGATAAG